CGGCGACGTGGAGGGGTCGGAGGCGGCGGGATTGGCTCCGACAGCCTGCCCCCCGCCGCTCGCCGGCTCGTCCCAAGCCCGAGCCGCCGGCCCCTGCAGACCTGCGCTCACAAAGGCCGCCGACAGAGCCGTCACGCCGAAGAAAGCCCGAGTTCATGTGACCAGCGCCGTGCAGTCCGGCTTCCAGGGACGCGGGCTGTGGTTCCCGGGGTAGCCAGGGGTGGGTGCTTTGTGAAACGCCCGAGCGCGGCTCCGACCTGGGAGGGCAGCGGGCGCGGACCCGAGGGCTCTGGCGGCGCGGCGGCCCGCGGGGGAAACTGAGGCCCAGAGGGAAGTCGCTCCTTTACCCCCGGAGGCAGTGTCCGGCCCGGGGCCCCGAAAGGAGCCCCGAAAGGAGCCGAGCTTGCGTGGCCACCCCCTCCCCGGGCAGGTTCACTCACACACTTATTTATGGGCGGCCCGCTGGGGTCACCAACGGGAACGGAAAGGAAAAAAAGAAGGCGAGCGAAGGCCGGCTTCCTGGTTGCCAGGATGGACACCCAACTGGACTAACTGGGGGGGGGGGCATGGGTTTGTTCACCCCCACCCCCCAGCCCAGGGCGGGGTGAGGGTGGGGCCGTGTGGGAAGGCCAGAGCCCTGCTCGGGTCTCGCTTTAGCAAGGTGAAAATCAGGCCCGGGCCAGCGAAGGCTCTCCCGCCGCCACCCCGGGTCAGAATTCCCACCGGGCTGGCCGCGTTTCCTGCCACCCTCGCCGCGCACGGAGCGTGCGTCTGCTTTACAGTTGAAGGGGAGCGACACAAGTCAGTCCGTGCCCTGTTGCCACCTGCCGTCCCAGCGTCCTGGGTCTCGGAGAGCTCAGCTTGATCCCAGGCACGAGTGCTGTATTCATTTTAGCTACTATATAGTATTTCATTGAGTACATGAACTCATTTTCTCCCCTCCACCCGCCACGAAAACAAGACTGCCCCAGGAAGCCCTGCAGAGGCCTCACTAGGCATTGGGCGGGGCTCTCCCTACCGGAGTGCTGGGTGACATGTGTCCCCCCCCCCGCCGCCGGATGGCCACCAGGGCCAGGGGGCCAGGTGACTCCTGCCCAAACAGGTCACTTCCTTACCCGCACTCACCAGTAGCCCACTTAGACCCGTGTGGAAAGGCAGGGCATTACTTTGTATCTACATTTGTGTTTTCCTGATTATTCAGAAAATTGAACTTCCTTTCATGTTGATTGGAGTTTGGTTTCTTCCTCCTGAGTTTCTGCTTCTTCACCTTTGCCAGTGTTTCTGTTTTCCTTCCGGGCTTGTAGGTGTTTTAAAGGAACATAATCTGGCCACCGATTTTATATACAGACTACATTACATAAAATGTACTACATATATGTCACATGATATATACATAACCTAAATATGCACTTATTACATAAACAGTGAGAGGATTGACCTTAAATGTATCCTTTTACTAGTAGTTTTTAACTGTTCAGTGGTACTTTTTTCTCTTTTGCCCTGCTGTAAGAGTATTTTTTAGTAATTCTATTTTTCACCATTCTCTTATTTGTTATACCTCATTTTGTGTCACCACCCTAAGTAATATACAGCTTTCATTATTAATTAAACACTACCATTCTGTCTTAGTACAGGTTATTCATTATCAGTATATATATTGATGTTATAAGCTGCAAAATATTGTTGGTCGTGCACAAGCAAATCTCTCCCTTGTGTTAATTTTTCATGGGGAGGGTTGCAAAAAAAAATTATATTTGAATTTCTTCTCAGGGTTTGTGCTTTTTCTGACTTGTTTTCTTCCGTATCCCA